TAGGGTTCTTTAGCCCCCGGTGTAACTGTACACATGTATCTTTAATGCACACAAAGCTTTTTGTGATTACAAACAGCACAGATGACTGTGTAAGACCACCATCAGCATCTTGTTAGTAGAGAAGGGTAAGATGAGTTCCAATGGGAAGTGGAAAAGGAAGCCCTTGAGTCCCTGTTGCAGCCCCTAGGAGATGACAGTTTGTCCCACAGATCTCTTTCTTCTAACCTTTCTTTGGGGGGACAGAGTTATAGGGATATTGGAGGGGCTTCCTCTCCAGCATACAGAGAGAGCTTACATGAAGGCTGGATTCTTGTCACCATGGGAGTGAACTGTTCCAAGCTCTTCTCAAGGAAGAGAGTATGCTGAGAGGTACTATGACTTCAGAAGCCATCACAGTATGAATGCTACAGCTATGTTCTTCCTCGCTCCTATTAGCAGCGGCTTAGTGGAGCACCACACTAGACCCCAGATGTTCCTACCCTAAGGGCCTTCCTTCACAGTAAATCTCTACTCTGGACCTCCTTCCCTGTTGCCTAGCCAAGACTTTCTCAGAGCTTTTATTATTTGAAGGCTTCTTACCACAGCCACCTCCTTTTGCCTGTCCCTTCATAGCTATTGGGTCTAAATCTCTCCTTCACGATCCAATTCTCCTACTCGCCCTGTTTCATGGGTTTTTCTCACAATAAGTCTCTTGGCCCTTTAATTCTAATTTGGCATCTGCATCCTGGTGACAAAGTGAGTTAATTTTTCCTTCCTTTCTAAAAAGAAGAAGGGTTAGGTCATTGTTCTTAGGTCCAAATTAAATTGTCTATCATTTTTAAAAGGTAAAATTGTAATAATTAGAAAATTATTTGTTGGGGCTAGGGAGATGTCTTGCCTTCACAGTTAAGAGCTCTTGCTTTTCTTTCCGAGGACCTGAGTTTATTAACCACCTAAGTCAGGCAGCTCACATCTGCCTATAACTCCAGCTCCCAGGAACCAGGTGCCCTATTCTGGACTCCTAGGTGGCACCCACACACAGAAACAAACACACAGGCAAAAATAAATCTTTAAAAAGGAAAAAGGTATTTGTTCTTCATTGAAAGCACAGTTTCTTCTTTGATCCCTTAATAAATACATGCTTAGTCATTGTGTCTTTATTGCTCATAGGTTAGAGAAATCATAAGGTAAAACTAGTCAGTGCTTCGTAAAGAAAATAGCTTTCATTGAGCGCAAAGGCAAAGTTAAAAGTGTACACTACAAACCTCCCCATTGTCTTCCTTCTGGTTAAGAAGACAGAACTGCCATATGCGGCTTAGGTGTAAAAATCATAGAGCAGTGCACATGTGCTGTGTGTAAAGGATTGATTGTAGGCTTTAAGTGGTGCTAATTTTTATTTTCCTATCACATGCTGATGTGACATTCACTAAAGGTGGCACTTAGTACAATGATCAGATCAACTTTTACCCTGGGCACATAGTTTTTCTACCACTTGAAAGCATGTCACCAAAAAGAAAGAAAGAAAGAAAGAAAGAAAGAAAGAAAGAAAGAAAGAAAGAAAGAAAGAAAGAAAGAAAGAAAGAAAGAAAGAAAAAGGAAACAAGGTTAACTTCCTGTTTACTGGAAGACAAGCAGAACATAATGAATAGTTAGTGATTAGACTGTAGTAGTTCACGTTTTTAATAAATTTATGGTATGGAAAAACAAAGTCCCTTATTCTGAAACAGTTCTTTTTTTGTTTCCCTAAAGGAAAACCCAATGATGATGGCTCTGTTTGCTTTATCCTTCTAATAGATCCTGAAAACAAAACCAACTTTGCTAAATTTTCATTTAAGCTTTACATCAACATGCGCTTTATCTCTGCTTATACAACTGGGAAACAGAAAACCCAAATTAGTTTAAAAACAAAAACCAAAAAGACACTAATTAGAATTCTAAAGAACTTAGGGGAAGGAAGATGTGTGGGAGATCACACCTGACATTGCCTTATTCTTATGGGGGGAAGAAGAGAGAAAATTTTATAAATCATGCTGAATTGAAAAAGAAAAAGAGAAGACACATTTCCCAGACAGATTTTGAAGCATACAGTTCAAATTTAGATTTCTCAGCATCTTGTGGTGTTTAGCCATTATAAGAGACCTCAGTGAATGAGAAAGACACTGTGTATCCAAGATAATTCTACTTAGAGAAACAAGTGTATTATACATTTAATTCTTATCTCTGTTGACTGCAATAAAAGTGAAGACCAAGACACTGTAAGGTTTAATTAGAAAATCAAATCAACAATTTGAAGCGCATTCTTGAAACAAGTACCTCTTGATTTAGCTGCACATTAGGGCGACCTGGGGAGCTCCCACAGTCTCTCCACCTAGCTCCACTCAAGATCAATTAAACGAGAATTACTGACATTCTTAACTCTACAGGTGATTCTGGTGTGCGTCCAAGATTGATACAGATTTCCTTGGATACTAAAGTTATTTTAAGCTTTAAACTATGTTCACGTAAGCTACAAACTGAATAGCTACAGCTCCACAGAATACCAAATGACATTTAATTTTGACAGAGAATTTCAAAAAATGATATTTAAAGAATGATAACTGGCTAATGTTATATCTGGTGGTTAGCCTTCTAGTTCTAGAAGTGGCTGTGCAGCCTAGTTGTAAGCCCTGATTTAAAAAGCATCCTTGCTGGGTCCTTTCCTTCTGGGATGAGAACTGAGCCTATGGGGCGGGGTGAGCTTCACCCCTTCGTGTGTTCTCCTGGCCCAGGATTCTGCTATACCTTCTGGACAGAGAGGACACCTGGCCACCAGAAAGCAGCAGGCATGAGCATAAATAAAGGCTAACTATGTTGTCTATCACCACACAGAAGGTGACTCAAATGTTAGTGCTCTTAACTGCAATAGCTACAGCAGTGACTAACTTTTGAGATAGAACCTCACCTAACTACAGATTAAACTTTCATCATATAGCATCAAAAACTTCTACACATATGGAGATGTACATTGAGATCATTAGATAATTGAAGTATTGATAGTTACTGGGTTAGAAACAAAATTATAGGATGTAATTCTTTAGTATTATTCTGTAAAAATGAAAAATACTTTCTTATTCCAAACAAACAAAACTCCTACATGAATCCACATTGACAGCATAGGAGACTCAATTTTAAAATACATGACTAATAATGGGCTCTGGTGTATAACAAATTTTTATTCTCCTTGGTGAAGAGGCCAATGAGTAGTAGGGAATTGGTGTGCACATGCAAGCAGTTACTTGGATGTGTCTTCCAAAAGATGGGATGTGTCTCTGGAATTGAAGACACAAATATTCCCAGATTGTGTGGTATAATAGGCTTTTTTGGATAGCCAGTGCCCCAATCATGACACAGAGACTTATTAATTATGAAATCTTGGCCTTGGCTTAGGCTTGTTTCTAACTAGCTTTTATGACTTAAATGAACCCATTTTTGTTCATCTATGTGTTGCCATGTGACTCATGACTGTTACCTGTCCTCCTACATGTCCTGCTTCTTCTTCTTCCTCCAGCTGGTGACTCCTTTCTTCTTCCTCAAGACCTCTCTGTCCCAAGAAGTCCTTCCTAATTACCTCTTTCTGCCTAAATATTGGCCATTTAGCTCTTTTTCAAATCTATCACAGTAACACATCTTCACACAGTATAAAGGAATATTCCACAAGATTTCACCCTTTGTCTAAATAAAAAGGAAATGTTTTAATTCTAGTATAATAAAACTATAAACAATACAAACAATTATCAGGTTAGAATTATATTCACAATGTCCAGTCCATTGGTATTTGGCAAATTTAGAGAAAATACTTCATTATCTATCCTCTCTTGATGAGGCTAACCTTTTGTACCTAATTTACTTTCTATCCTAAATTGTATTACCAACCCCAAACTAATTTTTTTATCTCAAAACATTATTTAGATAAACAATTTAAACTTTTATGTCTCTCAACCTTATATACTTTACACCTCTTTTGTGAGTTTCTTTTCTTAATTTGGTAACAAGGAAAACTGCAACTGTAACTATTTAGTCTTCACCTCCACCAGAGGCACAAGAAGGACATATTACCTGAGTAAATAGGAAGTGCAGAGCAAACAAATTCCAAAACTATAGAAATGACAGAGACATTTGGCTGCATGGATAGTCAACCAAGGTTCCTCTGCATTGTTGGGGCATCCATCTTTGGCCTGTGGGCCTAAAATATCTGAAAGACTTCTGTGAAGCAGGAATTTTTGAAGGACTGTCCCACTTTGTCTTGGAAAAGTTCAGCACTCACTTTTTTGTGTGTCCTGCTTGTCTAGTTTGCACAGCACCAGTAGTTGAGGCAAGGGCATTTTTTTTTTGCCAAAATGGCTAGCTTTTGCCACAAAGAAAGCAAACTCCATATGGAGGCTTCTTGTTACCCATCATCCTTTTTTTTTAAAGTAAACTGGTGGTGCCAAGAGCAGATGTGTCTCCCTGTCATAAAATATTAAAACATTAAAATGCCATATTCTGTAGGTCTTTGAAGTGTGTGAAGACCATCTATCTATTTAAAATATATCTCTTTTTGACCTTGAAAACATACCTAACATGACTGTAAGTTTGATTGTTATAGATGACTAACTATTAACCTGTATTTCTTTATTATCCTAAATAGCTTTCAAGGACTAAAACTTTACATTATATTTTTAAATGAGCTGAATAGGTACAACACCTCACACAAGAGTAGAAACATATAACAAAAGTAATCTTAAATTTGTATCAATATATAAAAATCCATACCAATGTAAAATATTTGAAACAATTGGTTGTTCAAAAGTAAACTCAACAATATACCCTTTTATTCCATCATTTCAATACTATATTTCCTTTTTCCCTCCAGAAAGAAATCTCTGAATCTAATCTCTTTTGTTCATTTTTTCCTGACTGTGACCAATAATAACTTGTAACAAAACCGCTAAACGAAGACAAACATTATAATCCATCAAATGACCAAAAATCATCCACCCTACCTCTTGGGAATGTGGGTGTCATGTTCTATAGACTGCTTCTTGTTTTCTAGGGATGATGGCATCTTTGAGGAACCAGCATCTTTGGGAGACCCTAGGAAATAAGGATAATGGTCAAGTTCTGGGACAGCTAACCATAACATTTGTTGTCCAGACTCTGTGCAATGGGATAGTGCAAGGCTTCTTTGCAGTCCTGGCTAGAATAGTCTGAATAGACTAGAATAGTCTAGCAACTTTGAAGTTGTTCTGGATGTAGAACTTTGAGGAAACCGCAGCAGAGGCACTCTGAGACACTGGATCACCTGGGCCACCCATTTTCACTGGTGTCTGGTCCCCTTACTTTGGAAACACACAAACTTTCTGCATTAACACAAATATAGACTGTGTGTTGTACACAAGCCAGCCAAAGATGATTGTTTTGTTTTATATTTGGGCAGATAAAATATGTCACCTGTCTTGTAGGGTTTTTTTTTAGGTTTATTTTTTCATGTCTATAGTTAAGATTTTCAGGGAGTGTACCCCAATCAAATCTGATCTTTATTAACCTGGAAGGAATCCACGGCCTTTAGTTTCCTGTGGAAACAAAACCAGAACCTTTCCCCCAACATAATACATTTTCTGACTTCCATTTTAAAATTAAGACATTCTTAAAATATTAGGTTAGTTTAATTTAGCAGTTTCCATAAACCAATGTCTCTCAGAAGCTATTGTTTTTTTGTACATTAGCATTTTTAAAACTCAAAGTCAAAAAAGTAGCATACAGGATCCAGACACCTTGTGTATTTCTCATCTTTGCATGTTTTATTTTTATATCACTTTACTCTCTCTTTAAAGTACAGTATTATTTTTAAACTATATTTATTTTTCTATGACTGTCTATGTCCATTTTCTTTTCCTTTTTCAGCATCTAAGCACGTTTTTAAGCATACTATATCTGTTCAGAGGTTTTCTCAGTCTGGACCTGACTTTGCCAAGCACCTGCAGCCATCTCTGACCAGGTGAGACAAATCTTTTTGTTTGTTTTTTGTTGTTTTTGTTTTTTCAAGACAGGGTTTCTCTGTGTAGCTTTGTGACTTTTCTGGATCTCGCTCTGTAGACCAGACTGGCCTCAAACTCACAAAGATCCGACTGCCTCTACCTCCCAAGTGCTGGGATTAAAGGCATGCACCACCACTGCCTGGAGGTGAGACAAATCTTAAACTGCAATGTCAGCCTCTGCTCAGCTCAGCTTGGCTGGCCAGTAGCTGCTGCACCTCTGTACACCAAGCACCTGCCCACCTGAGAGATTGCAGGACTAGAAAGCCGTACCTGGCTCTTTGTCCAGAACTTTTCTTAGCTTTCTCAGGCTGTTTGGGTATTCAAACCCCCACTTTGGATGTCATATGTAGATGGATTTTTCTTTGGGCTGCCAGCTCACAAAAAAATGACACAGAGACTTATTATTATGAAAGCTTGGCATATAGCCTAGGCTTGTTTCCAACTAGCTCTTATAACTTAAATTGGCCCATTTCTATTCATCTACATGGTGCCATCTGGCTCGTGGCTTTTACTTCCTCTCTATGTCTTGCTCCCTCTCCATCTGGCTGGTGACACCTTTCTTCATCCACAAGACCTCTCTGTCCCCAGAAGTCCCACCTAATATCTTCATGCCTAGCTACTAGCCATTCAGCTCTTCATTAAACCAATCAGAGTGACACATCTTCACACGGTGTAAAGGACTATTCCACAACAGTATGATGGAGTGTATTCTGTAGCTCCTTTTCTCCTGGGGAGTGTTTACTTGTCAGGGCTTTCTAAGTGTCTGGTATCTTCACCAGTGTCTGCTCAATAGACAGTACAAACCAGGCTCCTGCAGGCTTTTAATTCTTGTTCCTTATTTTTCTTTCCTTATCATTTATCAAAGAATTAATGGAAGCTGGCTGTGATGGCATAAACCTTTATTCTCAGAACTTAGGAGGCAGAGGCAGGTGGATTTTTGTGAGTTTTTGTTCAGCCTGATCTACAAAGTGAGTTCCAGAACAGCTAGGGCAGTTAGTTACACAGAGAAACCCTGTCAAGAAAGAAAGAAAGAAAGAAAGAGAGAGAGAGAGAGAGAGAGAGAGAGAGAGAGAGAAAGAAAGAAAGGAAGGAAGGAAGAAGGAAGAAAGGAAGGAAGGAAGGAAGAAAGGAAAAAAGGAAGGAAGGAAGAAAGGAAAAAAGGAAGGAAGAAAGAAAGAAAGAAAAAGAAAGAAAGAAAGAAAGAAAGAAAGAAAGAAAGAAAGAAAGAAAGGAAGAAAGAAAGAGATAAAGAAAGGAGGAAAAGAAAAAAAGAATTAATGGAGTTCAGTTAATTAAGCAGTTTACAGGCAGTCATATTGAATTTGGAATCCAGAAATTGAGAACATGGCTAGTGGCTAGTACATCCCCTTCCTTCATTGAATGAAAAAAAAGTCACCTTCAAAATTTCTTTTTATTCCTTTCTTAAGTTAGCATACAAAGTAATTGGTTTCATCATGAAATTTTCATATATATATACAGTGTTTTTATTTGCCCCCTCAATGTTTTCCTCATGCCACCTCCCCTTCTCTTTCTTGTGGAATAATCTTTTTGTACACTGTGAATATGTGTCACTCTGATTGGTTTAATAAAAAGCTGAATGACCAATAGCTAGGCAGGATTTTCAGGGCAGAGAGGATGCTGGGAAGAAGGGTGGAATCATGAGGAAACACCAGAAACACAGAGGAAGCGGCATGGGCTTTACAAAATAAAGGTGACTAAACCAAGCAAAAGAATGTAGATTAAAAGATACAGGTAAATTTAAGTTATAAGAACTAGTTAGAAACAAGACTAAGCTATCAGCCAAGCTTTTATAATTAATAAGTCTCTATGTCATTATTTGGGACCTGGCTGGTGGGACAGAAAAATCTGCCTACACTTTCTGGTCTCTTCCCTCTCAAATATCATTTCTATCTGCTTTCATGTCACAAATATCCCATCATTTTCTTTTGTTCCCCTCTCCCTTCAAATCTCTGCACTTTCTAGTCTCGTGCCCTACACACACTTGGGGAGGATGTATTTGTCACAACAAAAACAGACAAGTATTTATGAAATCTGTCTGCTGAGCAGTGGGTTGGGGACCTAACAATGTAAGTATGGCTTCTAGCCCAGAGAACTGTACTGTCTTATATATTATGCTTCTCAATTTGAATGTCTCAAAGGTCAAGAAACTGAGTGAGTTGGAAGATAAGAAATTCTTAAGGTCAGTGTCTTAGTCACTATTGTATTGTTGTGAAGAGACACCATGACCATGGTAACACTTATAAAAGAAAGCATTCAGTTGGGGGCTTACAAAATGGGGAGCTATAAAAGGGGAAGTGGAAAAGTTGTAATTCAGAAAGCAAGCAGGCTGAGTGAGGGTCTGTGAGCAACTAACTGCCTTGGGGGAGAAACTTCTCAGATATTCATAAACGCATGCTTGAGGAGACAATTATGCCTCCATCTTAGCATGCCTTTAGGTTTATCATATATTTTGTAACATTTCCAGAACAGATAGCTTTCTGAGGTGCATTTTTCTGGCCAGATGTTTGACAGGCCCATTTGGATTAACTCTAGAGGATCTAATACTTTTTTTTGTAATTTTTTTCTTTTGATCAGTTTAGAATGTCTCCACTCAGCACCAGAGGTATGACTTAGGACTCATTCTTTTCGTCAGAAAATCTCCGACCGGATTTTTTTTTTTTAATTAAAGTAAAAAAAAATTAATGAATTAGTCGGGTCTTAAGGGGTCTCCTCTTGGCCACACCCCAGGGGCAGGTCATAGGCAGGTGTGGTACTTACTTGCTGCCACACTAGGGGCAGTGTTTCAAGGTCAAAGCTGGTACAGCTACCCACTACAAATTAGTCATACTTTACCAGGATATTTATAGCCTTTCCTTGATGTGCCACAATAACACCCTGCTACTCTATCCCTTTTGCGTGGCATTTACGGAATTTATTTTCATAAGCCTTTTGTGACTGTATAATATGGTATTGTGAATGTTGAGGGGCAGTTGGGACGCATCCTTCTCCTCTCACATGGTAATTCCAAGGATCACTGTGGCACTTTCCACTTTGTTAAAATAGGTGTTATTAGACACAGGAGGCAGGGGCCACAGGGGATTATGGGTCTCCAAAGTTTTTCGAGCTATTAAACAAAACGACAAGCGTACTTACAACCAACATAAAGACTCAGAAAAAAAGGAAGGCAGAGGTAGAGACCTGCCTGAGTCAGGTAACCTATGCCAAGGATCACCTGGAGCACCAGATGCTGCAGACACATGGAAAGTTTGTTCATTCCTTGGGGCTTCAAAGGGGGCCCCGCCCGACCAACACCTGTATTTCAGATACAGGTTAGGCAATAAGGTTCTGTTGTTTAGCATGATCAAGTTTGTTTGGTTTTCTTTTAACGTGTATGATTATTTTGCCTCCGTGTACAAGTACACCACGTGTGTGCGGTGCTCCAGGAGTCCAGAAAAGGCTGTGAGAACCCCTGGGACTGGATTTACAGTGAGCCACCATGTAGGTGCTGGGAATCGAACCTACGTCCTCTCCACGAGAAAACAGCTGAGCCACCTGTGAAGCTCCCACGACCAAGTTTATTACCTAAATTGCTTCCGCGGTAAAATTGAATAATACCTTAAATATATATCCTGAAGTGGAAAGTGGAGAAAATGTATGCCCAAGAATGGGCTGACGTTAAAAACGCCAACCACTTATGGAGTTTTTCACAATCACTTACTGCGCTCCGCTCTAAATACCTGAGGTGATTTCCGAGGTGCTTACTAATCTGCCCAGAGATTCAGAGCTAAGAGTGTGGACTACGGAAACCGTGAGTGTTGGTGAACAAGATGACCACAGAACCGACTCCGGAAAAGCTTTTATCCTCCAGGCTGGACTAACGGAAAGGCACACACGCAAACAGGCGAGCTATCCGGACACCGAGACAGAATGAAGGGTTAACGGGGCGGTCCTCGCGACAACCTGCGTCATCCCCAGACGCTGCCGGCGCCAACGTCACTTTCCGGCGCCACTGACTCGTCTTCCACCGGACGGATCCCTTCAAGGGCCAAAACCCGCGCGGTCCAACATAGGAGGTGTGGCGAGGGCGGACCAATTGAAACTATGGACTTCGCGTTCCCCCCTAAGCTCCACCCCTTGACCCCAAGCCTCATGGCGGAAGAATACAATCAGAGGACCGGGGCGGGGCCAGATGCGGAAGCGGAAGCGGCGGAAGGTGGCGGAACTCTGCGATCTTCTGCCCCACGTGTGCGGTGAGTGCTGCGGAGAGGGCGTTGCAGGCGGTGCGGGGCAAGCTTTCGCTGGCCGCTCCGGAGCGGGGAGAGTTTTCGGGGCCGTGGACGAGCGGGCGTCTTCAGATCGGCCGCTAGGGCCGCTTTCCCGGCCGCTTTTATGGCTCGGAGTTGGGGGATTGGCGGGAGCCTAGCGAGGGCAGGGGTTAAGAAGCCCTCCGTTACATTCCTTAGTGCAGAGCTGGGGGAACTAGCTTCGCTTTCACACCCCTGCCGGTGCGGGTCACGGTCAGCCTGCCCATCCTGTGACAGACCTTGTGCCTAGGAGCGTTGCAGGGGAAACTGAAGAAGTGACCCATAAACCGAGACCTAAAGCATGATGGGAGGCAGGAGTATTTTAAGCAGGGGCTCTGGGGTTAAGTCCCGGAGGTCTGCGTTAGGAGTACCGCAGACAAGATAAAGGGAAGGGTAGGAGTTTGGAGGCCATGGTGTCGAGCTTTTGTATTCTTGTGTAACGGGAAACATTGTTCTTTGTGTTCCTATGCGTATAAAAGGTTGAAGGGTTATTAGAAAAAAGCGGGAGGTGGCTCGTGACAGGCCTTGATTCTCTTAAAAAATGTGCTTAGTTTGCAAGTTCGGTAAGGAGAATCTTGATGGGTTTGTACTGAGTATTGGTAGTGGAGATAAAGTATTTTCTAAGGGGATTGCAGGATAACTTACTGATAGGTTCAAGATGACTGACACGCAAAGAAGTAAATATCAGATGCAATGCTCAGGTTCTCTTTGAGCAGTAAAGTAGATGACACCCCGTTGGCTACGGTGAGAATGGGCAGGGAGACAAAGATGGGCTGTCTTTGGGAAAGTTTGCTGTGGGGATGCAGAGAATTAAGTTTCAGACATTAAGCAGAAGGTGCCCCTTACATGCATAGTCAAAAGTGTCGAGTACACAGCTGTGAAGGTTTAGGAAGTAAAACCTAATTTGCTTGTCTTTGCGTTTGGGTTAGCCATAAATGAATTTGATAGTGAAGAAACTTGGCAAATACTGCTTTAAGTGATCAAGGTTAACTTCAGGAGTAAATCATGACTGCTACAGTCCTTTGGTGCTGTGAGAAAAGAACTTCTTTGCTAACACACACCGGCCCAAGCATAAACTCAGTCTAATGAAAATCTTAATCCGAAAGGGGACATAGCCTGCAAAACAGAGAGGAGACATGGTGACTAAATTAACTATATCTTGGAATAGGAAAAGGACATGAATGGGAAAGTTGATATCAAAATATACCCTGCTATACTAGTGTTAATTTCTTAGTTTCATCACCGTGTCATATGTTAACAATAGGGAAGCTGGGTAAATGATCTATAGGCTCTGTATCTTTTTAACTCTTCTGTAAAACACATTGTTTTAAAATAAAATATGCAAGCTTAATATGTAAATAAAGGTATGGTTAGAAACCTATATATGAAGGCCAGTGGCACAGTTGGTTAGCATGTGGTACTTTGATGAAACCTACATGCAGACATGCAAGTGTGACAATATCTTGCCAAGTGATAAAAGGACTGTGCAATTTAAAATGCCCAGTAGGAAACTGAGTGGTTCCAGTGCTGAAATTACAGATACATATCACTATATTTTTATGCAGTGCTAGGCATTGAACCCAGGGCATGTTCCAGTGTTTCCTGGAGAAAGTGGTCTACTACATTTGGAAAGTTATATATTTCAGTCTTTGTTTTCCAGTGGGTAGTTCATAGTAGCAAATTAAGGACTTAAAAAATCTCCCCTTACTTGCTGACTATTGCTGTGTAATTTACTGTTTCTCAAATACATATTAACCTGGAATCCTGCCTTTTTTTTTTTTTTTCCCCAAGACATTTCAGTGTCCTGAGGAATTAATCATGCTTAGTTTTGTTTTGATTTTTGAAACAGTATCTTACTGTGTATCCCAGACTGGCCTCCAGTTTGTGTTGCCAGAGTGTCCTTGAACTCACAGTGATCCTTCTGCCTCAGTCTCTCAGATCTAGGATTATGGGTGTGTATGTCAACACATCCAGCAAGAAATTAATTCATGAATAGAAGTTTCTAATCTGGAAACATTGTCTAGGAATTCCTGTAAGTGACTCTTAAGGTCATTTAGAAATGGATGAGCATGTAACTTTTTGAAATGTAGACATGAGCTTAGTAGAGTTTGCCTTTGTATCTGTATGTTTTGCTTCTTGCAAAGCTTGTAGGTTGATGAGGAGTATCTATTACTTTGCCTGTGCTCAGTGAAGGTCACTGAACCCAACAGGTGACATGTTAGGCAGATCCCTCTCAATTAAATATTAAATAGTTCATTGTGGCTTGGAGGTCAGCAAGGCAACTGGCTGCCTCTAAAACAGTTGGCCAATAACCTTTATTTTAGCTTTTTTGGGTTTTCTTTCTTTAAATTGTAACATGTGCTAAATGCGTCCTATTGCTTTTTAAGGTAGATGCCCAAGAAATCAAATGATAACATCACCGTTACTCATCACTGTTTTTTGTTTTGTTTTGTTTTTTTTCTTTTTGGGGGGCGGGGGTTGAGACGGGTCTTCTCTGTGTTGTTTTGGTGCCTGTCCTGGATCTCGCTCTGTAGACCTGACCTGGCTGGCCTCAAACTCACAGAGATCCGCCTGGCCCTGCCTCCAAGTGCTGGGATTAAAGGAAGGCATGCACTTTTAATTCTTAATGTTTATTCTTAATAGTGGTCTACATTTAGCCAGTGCTGTTGCCTCTGGGTGTGTCACACACTAGGCAGGGCGTGTGCGTGTCCTGAGTTCTTGTTTGTGTTGGTATCCTTTTCACCCTCTGTTTTAATGTCTTAGAGGTAGTTCTGTACTTGGACTTGAGAGCCCCCGGGCTGGATGCTTTATACTGCATCTGAGCTCAAGGGCTGTGTGTTGCACTGACTGTTTAATGGCTCTTACTGGATAGCAATTCGGTGATTCTTCATGGTTTTGGCTTTTGTTTTCCAGAATTGCTATGATGGAAGTCCAAGAGAAGAAAAAATTCACAGGGAAGAGTCCAAAAACAGCACAAGGAAAGACTAGATTTCATAAAAACAGTGGTAAGAGAGCCTTGCCCATGTGCGCTTCCCATGTGCTGGTTACCTTGAAGATATATCTGAGAGGGACGAGTTTGTAGTGGGTGTCACGCTCTTCATGGGCTAGGATTACAGTAAACATGGTGGAAAGAAGTCACCACCATCCACAAGCTAACCTGTTCCTTGTGGAATTTCGGCTTTTAAGATTTGCCAGAATAATTGAGGAATGCTTTATTTATAAAAGATCCTTTCGCTGGGTGGTGGTGGCACAGGCCTTTAACCCCAGCACTCAGGAGGCAGAGGCAGGCGGATCTCTGTGAGTTTGAGGCCAGCCTGGTCTACAGAGTGAGATCCAGGAAAGGTGCAAAGCTACACAGAGAAACCCTGTCTTGGGGGGAAAAAACTTTATGTCAGCAATTTATGGTGGCCTTATTGTATTCACATTCAGTCACTGTACAATTCGTTTTAATGCTTGATGAGTTGGACCTGGCTAGTACACTCAGCTTTGCCTTCTGAATTTCAGATGGTGATGTCTCTATTATTCCATCAGGTGTCAGTATTGCAGAGTAGAAGAATGCAGACCTATAGAGATAGCTGAGTCCTAAGCAGTCTTATGCTTTCCCTTGTAATGGTCCTAAGGCATAGCTATTATTATTGTCATCCTGTTTGTTAGATATGTGTAAGCTTTTTGACTAAACATTTTAGCCAAAAGGTTTATTGTAGGCTCTAAGATTTTTCTCAAAATTAGACTTTTTCAGAAATCCATTTTAATTCATTTTTATGATATGTTTTCTTAACTTCAGTAACTGTTCATTTCACTCTTAAACTCTTATCATATTGAACCACTGATATTTTAATATAAATATTGATAGTAGTGCCAATAAGACAAAATGGAAAGGTACATAATATTTTATGTCTAGCATATGCTTAAAACTGCAGAAATATGCCATGCTAGCATAGTGGTTGTTTCTAAGAGGTAATTTATAGTTTATTATTAATTCCTCTAACTTTCCAGGGTTTACATGGCTAACCTATACAATTTTATAATCAGAAAGTTTTCTCTTAACTTGGGTTTGATTATTTAAATCCTAATTTATTCAAAGGGTTAAAGTATATTTGAGGATAAGACTGTTGGTTGTACTGAAAAGTGTGTAGTTCTCTGCAGCATGTAGTTGAGTAGATACCAGAGATTTCGGCTCAGAGTCAATGAACTAATAAGTATTCTTTGTTGTCACCAGAGTCTAGTTCTTCAAAAACATTCCCAAGGAAAGTTGTTAAGGAAGGTGGGCCTAGAGTTGCATCTAAGAACTTTGAGAAAGGTGCCACAAAACCTGGCAAAAAGGGTGTGAAGCAGTTCAAGAACAAGCCACCAGGGGGCAAAGGACCAAAGGACAAATTCCAGAAGCCAAATAAATTCAACAAGAAGAGGAAATTCCAGCCAGATGGGAAAAGTGATGGTAAGCATGGCTCTTAGAGTCTTTGCAGAAGCCTTCCCGGGCCAAGGTGGGACTGGACCATGGTGCACAGGTCCTCTGCTGGGTCAGAGACTGCCTGTCCTTGCTCCTAGACGGGCAGCATTTCAGAGTAGAAGGAAGGAAGCACAGAAGGGCTTAAGTAAACAACAGTGTGTTTCTAGTCAGAATTTCTTGTTCTGGTGCTGGTGAGATGGATCAG